TTGTCTTTTCTTCTCTTTTTTCCCAATTTATTTTTTTTATTGGAAAGCAAGCTCTGGGCTTGTAGTTCCTGGGATCCCTGGGCCATAGCATGCGTCGCCAGGCCTCCCTGCGCCCCACTCCCTCTCCTCCTGGGTTGAGCGTCTGGCCCCCGTGGTCATTCCAGCACCCTTAGTGCTTTTATTGTATAAGACTAGTGGCCCGGTGCTCGAAATTTGTGCACATTAAAAGGGAATTAATTAGAGGAAATATTTTAATATTGCTATTTGCCCTTTATAACAGAAGTGTCAGAGATGAAAGAAAATTAGTGAAATGTATATGAAAATCTCCCTCCTGTCAGAGTCTGGGGTGCGCCGCGGGCCCCAGAGTCAAGTCCCCGCCCACCCACGTGCACCTCAAAGTCACGCGAGACCCAGACCTGGCCAGCCACACCCCCATCAAGCCCCACCAGGCAGGGGACACAGCCTCAGGTCCCCCATCAAGCTCCGCCGGGCAGGGGGGCACAGCCTCAGGTCCACTAGCCCCGGCGGGAGAGCGTGAGGGCATGAGGGCAAAAGGGTGTGACAACCATTTGCATATTAGCTCTTTATTATATAGGATTAGGCACAGAATGTAATACAAAATTATAGACCAAGAAAGGAAGTCCTAATTTTGTGTTTGTAGAATTCAATCAGGAAGACTGATAAAAAGAACTGGACAAAAATCAGCCAATCCTACAATTGTTGGAATAGAGTTCAGGTCTTTCAAACCTTACTGAAGGCTGCAAACCTCATCCTACTGAGTTACAGGCCCAGTCTACTTCACTTACACATACATGCAATCATTGATTCAATATTTACTTGGCCCAAGGCACTGTTCTAAATGATACAGACAGCAGTAAATAAAACAGACAAAAAGCCCTACTCTATTTACTTAGCTAGCCTATTCTTTTCCAGGCAATCTCACAACTTCAACCTAAATCTTCCCTTCTAGTCCACCAAACTGAAAAGAACAAGGAAAAGGCAATACACACCAATTACCTTAAAAAAATAGTTGAAACTTCTACTTTCAAATTTTTTCTCCTGTCACTGCCTCCCTACCTCACCTCATCCCATCAATAACCAGTTTTCCATTGCTAACTTGAAGTGAAATAGAGTAATGCCAAAGTGAAATGGCCATCTTCTGACTTAAACAGAGCACTACCTACTTCTACATGGGTTCACAAAAATTACATAAATAAGTAAGTAAATATCTAGGGCAAACAATGAGGAAGGTTTAAAAAAAGTTCTAAGATAGTAACATTGAAGCATTAAAACAAAAACAAAACACAGCTACCTGGTATACAATTCCTCCTCTTTTTTTCTGTTCCTGTTGTCACTGCTCCTATTGCTTAAGCTGTCTGAAAGCCTGCCTTGATTACATTTCAATCCATGAAGGGAACTATATACTTCTTAAAGTCCTCACAGGATTTTCTGCAAAAAACAAAAACAAAAACCACCACCTGGACTGGAGGACTGGCTCAGAAGAGCTCAAGAAATAGAGATGCTCTACCATTCTTGAACCTTGAAACTATTCTAAATGAGGATATCTACAGAAACATTACATTTTGTAAACAGTAAGCATGCATTTTAAATTTATAATTGACTTTCCCCACCTCTAAATTTCCCAGTAATTTCTTAAAAATACAAAAACCACTTTGTTGCTATAAATTTAACATATAAATTATAGAAAAAGCACGCAAGTCATTAGATAAAGACCAGTTAAGAAGTTGAAGTATTAATATAACCAAAAAAAATGTACCTAATATTCAGGAGGCAACAAGGGCGTTGAGAAGTTTCTATTTATGTGTCAATAACTTGGAAAGGAGAGATGAACTAAAACTGACTAAAAAAGATAGATGTTTGAAATAGCAAATAAAATAAGAGGCCATACAGTGCTGACCAGAGTGTAAGCATAATACATACAATGATTCAATTTATAAAATGTTTCAAAATGCAAAATAATTTTACCTATATTGTTTATGGAGCTATACATACCTATACTTCAAAAGTATAAAAATATGTATGGGAATGCTAAACGCCAATCCCAGCACACTGTTTACCTTAATGTGTTTTGAATTTACATGATGTAAATTACAAGAAACTTAAATAAAAAGGTATTTTAAAATCAAATCAATTATCTCTATATACTATTTTCTAACTGAATTCCTTCTTTTTCTCCTTCTTAAATCTTGTCTTATGAAAATTGTTTCAATCCACCCCATCCTACCAGATTATAACAAATTTCAATTAAAAAAATCTCTTTTAGCCGAACCGGTTTGGCTCAGTGGATAGAGCGTCAGCCTGCGGACTCAAGGGTCCCGGGTTCGATTCCGGTCAAGGGCATGTACCTTGGTTGCGGGCACGTCCCCACTGGGGGGTGTGTAGGAGGCAGCTGATCGATCTCTCTCATCGATGTTTCTGACTTTCTATCTCTCTCCCTTCTCTGTAAAAAATCAATAAAATATATTTTAAAAAAAAAATCTCTTTTAGCCAAAACCGGTTTAGCTCATTGGATAGAGCGTTGGCCGGTGGACTGAGAGGTCCCAGGTTCGATTCCGGTCAAGGGCATGTACCTGGATTGCGGGCACATCTCCAGTGGGGGATGTGCAAGAGGCAGCTGATCGATGTTTCTCTCTCATCGATGTTTCTGACTCTCTCTCTCCCTTCCTCTCTGTAAAAAAATCAATAAAATATTTTAAAAATCTATTTTAAATTGCTTTCCCTCATAAGTAACATATTCACTAAAAAAAAAAAAAAAAATAGAAAATTCTGATTAGCAAAAGTAAGAGGCTTACACCTACCATTTAAAGATATCACCTTAATATTTGGCATATATACCAGATTTCATTTTAGTATATACTAGAGGCTTGGTGCACGAAATTCGTGCACTGGGGCAGGGGAGGGGGGTGTTTCCCTCAGCCTGGCCTGCACCCTCTTGCAGTCCAGGAGCCCTGGGGGGATGGCTGACTGACGGCTTAGTGGGCCTAAGCCGTCAGTTGGACATCTTTAGCATTGCCACAGAGGCAGGAGAGGCTCCCACCACTGCCTCTGTGCTCGCCAGCCATGAGCCCTGCTTCCGCTGAGCAACGCTCCCCCTGTGGGAGTGCACTGACCACCAGAGGGCATTTCCTGCATTGAGCATCTGCCCCCTGGTGGTCAGTGCGCATCCTGTGCTGAGCGTC